TAAAAAACCTACCCACTTTCTTCACTTTGAAGCAGTTTTCTGTAAAGTGCCAGTGGAAGTCAGATTAAAGAAGGGCTTCTCAAACTGTGGGTGAGGGTCCAAAAAAGGGGTGTAAAGTGTAGTATAGTTTCCTTGTCTTATATTAAGCCTAAATGAACATTAATTAGATCAGGGGTGAGCAAACTTTTTGACTCGTGGGCCACAAAAGGTTCTAAAATTTGGTGGAAGGGCCGGACCAGGAGCAGATGTATGAAGAGTTTTGGTAATCCGCCTCATTAAGAGAAAAAAATAACATTGGATATGTAGAAAACACATGCTTGAATTTCAATTGAAAATCATTACAAAGCATTACGTTTACTATTATAATTTATTCAAGTGCGGCGGGCTGGATTAAAAAGATTAAAGGACCGCATTTGGTCCCCGGGCCGTAGTTTGCCCACCCCTGAATTAGATCAAATGGAAATAGATCTATAGAAACATTGATATTGTTGAGGAAAACAACCTTTTCCTCATGTGTTCTTTAGTTTCTGCTTAAATAAAAAATACACTTGAAACAGAAATAAAGTCCAGATAATTTACTTATTCCAATATTAGAAAGTCATACTTGTACAAGGAGTCTGTGCTGACATTCCCATGCAGAGATTCAATGTTTTACACCTATACAATGACTTTTATACGCAAACTATAGTGGGAGGCTACTGTGGTTAGACCTAGCGCCTCTTCGTTGGTGCACAGACCTCTTGGCATGTTGCACAGTCCAATCAGTCTCCATCCGGGTGTTATCTGAGTAACAAGTCATGACATCATCCCTATCAGTAGTTCTTGTTCTATTTAGTTAGTTTGCTATTAGACAGATTGGAATATCATGCATTTGTCTTGACATACCATATTTTCCGGGCTGTTAGATGTGCTTTTAAGCCTCTAACCCCATCAAAAAACGACAGCACACCCCACAATCCAGAGCGCCCTATACACGAATCCACTCGGGTGTCCCAGCACGACTTCAGTAAACTACAAAGCCGCACCATCCGCAGCGCACGCAAACACCCACAGCCACACTCATCACTCCACGCCGGCGAGGAACGAACCGAAAAAATGAATGCAATGTGTCACTCTGAGCCACAACTGAACAACTGAGTCACTGCGAACACGCGGTCCCAGACAGCACCCTCCCTACACGCCACAACTGAACAAAGCCCAGAGTCACAATGAATGTGCCAAACAAAGTCCCACTGACCCATCCAACTGTTGTGTTTCGTTTACAGTCCGGTGCAGTTTATTTGTGAAAAAGTTTGAAAATAGACCATTTCATGACAGTGCGTCTTATAATCCAGAGCGCCTAATAGCCCGGGAAATACGGTATATCTACGCGTCTCACAGCTGTGATCAGAGCCCTTATCTTCAAATGACCTCAGTACAATTATGAACTATAGAAGTGTTTATACAAAATAGCTAAGCCTAGTTATTTATTCTAACAACGTATATGTACCAAATTAACAAATAAGTATAGAAGATTACAGAGATGGTCTCGATTTGGTCTCGATTGACCTTGGTCTCGGTCTTTTCTCGGTCTTGACCTTTAAAAGTCTCGGTCTTGTTTTGGTCTTGGGACCCTGTGGTCTCGGACTGGTCTTGGTCTCTTTTATGTTATTAGGTTCTTTTTTCAGACCTAGAGTTTTGTTTCATATCTGACAGTTTCGACTGCTCACTAGCGGTCTTCCTCAGACTGGTCACGTGAAACAAAACTCTAGATCTGAAAAAAGAACCTAATAACGTGAAATATCGGAAGACCAAATGAATCTCATTGGACTATGGTCTTGGTCTCGACTAGTGCGGTCTTGACTACAACACTAGGTATTACACTCCTAGACTAAGACTCTTGAAGAAAGGTCCAGTATTGTCCTGTTTATTTCAGTATCAGTACCTCAAGTGTGTATCTAGTTTTCATACTAGTTTTAGCATTGATTAGCTATCTGGGTATCCGCTTTATTGACAGTCGTATTATGCACTAAACAAACACTATATGCACCGAGCTAACCCCATCTGCCCACTCTTTTCAATGAAAGCTCCCCCCATAGACTCCTCTTATTGGATCTGGTGGCACTGTAAACTTTTAGTGTGCCTTAAACGACATGACAACAGCAGCACGCAGCGCCCCGGCTCCTAAAAGGGATTTTCCATTTCCATTTTTATTCCTCCTCTTTTATATTTGATGCCGCGCGGTGATTGTGTGCACCTGCCGTCGATTGCGGATTTGTTCTTGTGTGCGGGAGGACACGAGAAGTGAAAATGCATTATAAAAACAGACAGAGATAGAGGAGAGAGGGAGAGAGAGAAAGAGAGGAAGGGCCTTGGGAAGGTTCAAGCAAAGTCAGAGGATTTGAAATGAGGGTTTTGTACTCTGCTGAACATACAGGCGTGAAAACTACTGCATGTCGTGTATTGTACTGTACCTGATTTATTCCATATGTAGAAAATACATAGGTCCAAAGTCACCTTATGCATTGTGAGCATCCTATTAATTCACCTCGATGAGTTTATAACTGTTTTAAACAAAAACTAGAACCCACGCACGTCTGTATTCTTAGACAATAAAAAGCTTTATAATAAGATACAGACCGTACACAGCTGACCAAGGCTACACTGCAGCCTGGAGTGACCAAAATCCGATTTTTTGGCCCCTATGTGACCTATATCTCATCTTTTAATGACAGTCTGAACAACACAGATCCGATTTTTTCAAATGCGACTGGATATGTGCTCCTAAAACCAATACATATCTGATCTTTTGACATGTGGTTTCAGTTTGAACGGCCAAGGCGTATTCATCCGACCTACATGTTATCAACAGATGTACACAAACGTTCTTCTCGTCATACAAAAATTGTTAATGAACTCGGTGTCACTGAAGCGAAGCACATCACCACTCACCACTCTTGGCTACGTCTCCACATCCACACGTTCCTTTCAACGGACTGCCCCACAAAACACCATGGTCAAAAACCTCGTCCTTCACCTTCTCAATCTCCTCCTTAAAACAAGTTGTTCATGTTCTGGCTCCAGTACGAGAGGAACTTTAAAATTGCTCAATGCTCGTGTTCATGTTTGGACAACTTCTGAAAACACAGAGCACGCTCGCTGCGGTCGACGTTGTTGTGTCCTCCAGTGCTCATGCGGGACACTTTTGGGCCGTTTAAAGTTCACACTGGAGTCACATACAAGTCGCGTTTAAACGGAAATGTGAACAACCTCGCAAAAATGGATTTCACAAAAAAAATACGAATTGAGCGTTAAGCCCTGCAGTCTGAATGCAGCCTTAGTCTGACATTAGAAAGTGGGAGGTAAAGGTCCAAGGACTGGTCAAGTTTATTATTTTCACTGAATCTGTTTAATTAAAGGTGCATTGCACAACTTTTCTGGTGGAAGGTTCCATCACCTGCTTGTCTTGAGGTTAGTGAGTTATTGCTTTGTCTGGAATGTTCCATGGTATGACATTAAACCAGGGGTCTTCAACATCTTAGTTATTGTACATTCAATACTAGGGGGGTATTCCATCGAAGTCACTTAACAAGTCCAGGCTTATCCTAAAATCCTGTGCTGAAACTAGCTCCATCTACAGTTTAAGTCTCAACCAGTTCTATGGTCTCAACTCGTTTAATGACAGAAATAAACCTGAGTCTGACCAAAGCTAAACTCAGGCTTACAGTTTAAGCTGCGCTTTGTGCACAAGGTGACTCTGAGAAGAACAGATCAACAGAACAACAACATCACGGGAAATGGGTTCAAAGTGTGACTGTTCTCATTTGGAGGAACTGCAAATTAAACATCAGTGTTTTTTAAAATAAAAAAAAAGTTACACTTAACACATTTACCTTTTTTTTTTTTTTTTTTTGAACTAGTCGCACTTTTTTCATGGTTTGGGTGTTTCCTGCAACTTATACTCTGGTAAGACTTATTAAAATTTTCACACTGATATCCACGAGAGGGCGCTCTAGCCTCTGTATCTGCTGCTCCTATCATACTATTACTCCTATACCACTGTCATTTCTGCACACCATTATTTCTGTAGCACAATTTTTTTATTTTTTTATTTAAACAAACTTATAAAGACGACTGAACCCAAATACCCCCAAAATTGTATTTTGCAGATTACAAGATGCAAGTAGCAAAATATGCAGCCGAAAACGGTAATCAAGCAGCAGAAAGAAAGTCTGGAGCGAGTGAGAAACTTGTGTCACCGGGAGGATGCACCATGAAACTTTCTTGGAAGTCACTGGATGAATCAACAAAACCTGGACTTCAGTGACACCGAAATCATCCTGTTAGGATTCAAAAAGGCCAGAATAATTCTAACTGGAACTGATTCTGAGTCTGATGACAGCTACACAGAAGAGGAAGTGACGCTCCTTTTACCTCTGGACATCACGGAGTTGCTCAGAAGTGACACCGAGGATGAAGAATTGAATGGATTTAGTGATTTGGAGTGAGATGGAGAGTTTGTTAAACTTGTTCTGTTCTGTTGTTTATGTTATAGTTTATCTGAAGAACTGTTCATATGTGATGTTAACAGTCTGCTGTTCTCTCTTCTATTGATATTACTAGAATTTGATTTTCATGATGAAATGTCAGTTCCTGGTCTCTGATTTTATAAAATAAATTTCCCCCAAAAAGTGCAACTTATAGTCCGGTGTGACTTATATATGTTTTTTTTTTTTCTTCTTTATTCATTATGCATTTTTTTGGCAGTTGCGACTTATACTCTGGAGCAACTTATAGTCAGAAAAATACGGTAATCTTTTTTCTAAGACAAATGTTACCACAATTGCAGTAACCATATATATGAAAATATAGCTAACAAAATGTTTACTACTCTCTTCTCTCTGCACCATAGTGACTGCAGAATCTCCAATACTGTGCCCTCCACTTAAAAAAAATAAATAAAAAATAGCAGCTCACAGTTTTACAAAATCTTCCAGCCTGTGTTTTGAATTCCAGCTTACCTGACATGTGACACTCTCCCCTCTGCACCACAGTGACCAGCGGCACGTTTTCCATCTCCGCTCTCCTGTTCTCCGCCCGTAGCCTGCACATGCTCGGGTAGGTCCTTCCGTCGCTCCCGCAGACCACCCCGTTGGACTCGCAGACGCACACTCTGACCCCCGACCTCTCCTGGCTCCTCCGCTCACACCGCAGCCCCTCTCCGCAGGCCAACCCGCTGCAGTCTTCCCCCTCTCCGGCCGCGCAGACGACACAACATCCGCAAAAGTCTTTAACGCGTCCGTAGTAGCAAACCGGAGGCGGGATCGGGCATTGGCTGGCGTCGCAAATCTCCTGGCAGGTTTCCCTTTTGCTCAGTAACCCTGCGTGCGCGATTGTTATCAGCGCAAAACAAGCAGCTAACTTCATTGTTGCTTGATCTCCTAGCCCAGCGTCAACTGTTTTCCCGTGCAGGTTTGACTTTCTTTAAATGTCACAGAAGCTTTCCATCTCTTCTCTTTCGTAGCCTATAGGTTGGCCAGTTGCAGCATGCCCTCCCACGTTTTATGCTCAGAGCCGTCAGGAATGCAGCTCTGTAAATTTTTAAATAATATAAAAATGGCCCAAGGCAGAGGCCCTATAATCTCACCTGGGTGGCATCCAAATTTCGAGATTATGGGGTTGGATATCGTTAACACAACAGCAGGTAAGAGTACAAAGCCTGAGGGGAGGACTATCCAAGAGCGTGATTTTATTGGGATTGTAAAAATTTGCATAATAGTCACTTAAAGGCGCTGTGCCTCATATTAACCGTCTTTAAAATATGAAAAACAGAACTAGTTCAATTTAAACAGTTTGCAGTGGTCCAAAGTTATTCATCACTTACCTTCTGCGTTCTGAATTTTTCATTGTGATGAGTTTAGAAGTGCTTTTCCCAACTATCAGAGACCAGACTTTTGCCGTGATAGTAAAGCTGTGTTAACAAATAGCATGTTAATGTGCACTTCCTGATTATCAGACAATAAAGCACTTTCTAAATAGGTGCAGACAGACTTTTTTTTTACTGCAAGACCAGTTTATCCTGTATATCTGTACTGCAGGAAGACAAACGTTGCTCTTGTACATGGAAAAAAATATATTGTAAACATATTAGAATGCTTAAAATTGCTGGGTTTCAGACAGGGTCGGACTGGGAACAAAATTCGGCCCTGGCATTTTTCTTTCAGAACGGCCCACCATCGGATCAACAATCCCGCTCCCGCTCAATTCAGGCAATTGGGGCATTTTCCCGGTTGTACAGATTACCATTCCAAGCTTGGTTTCAGATGACATCACAGCGTTCTATTGGCCAATGTTATTTAATACAGAAGGGAGATAAGGGGCAGCTAAAATGAATATTTTCAACTGCAGATTTCTGTTGTGATATAGCATGTCCTTGGGTCTCAATAGGGAGTCAACAGAAATACCGTATTTTTTGGACTATAAGTCGCTCCGGAGTCTAAGTCGCACCAGCCAAAAAATGCATAATGAAGAAGAAAAAACATATATAAGCAGCACGGGACTATAAGTCGCACTTTTGAGGGGAAATTTATTTTATAAAATCAGAGTCCAGGAACCGACATTTCCTGTGTAAAGTCAAGTTCTAGTAATAATAGAACAGAGAACAACAGACTGTTAACGTCACATATGAACAGTTCTTCAGATAACTAAATAAACAACAACAGAACAGAACAAGTTTACCAAAACTCTCCATCTCACTCCAAATCACTAAATCCATTCAATTCTTCATCCTCAGTGTCACTTCTGAGCAACTGCCATAGAACTATAATAAATAATTATATATCCATGGCAATTCCACGACCTCTGGAGGTAAACAGAGCGCCGCTTCCTCTTCTGTGTCGCTGTCGTCAGACTCAGCATCAGTTCCAGTTAGAATTATTCCGGCCTTTCTGAATCATGACAGGATGGTTTCAGTGTCACTGAAGTCCAGGCTTTGTTGATCCATCCAACGTACTGTAGAAGTACAGGCTGTCCCAAAAAACTTGACATAATTTCGCAGGCCAATAATTTTGGCAATTCTTGTTGAAATAACTTCAGACTGTATAGAAACAGATCAAGATTTTATATTTAATTTATTAATTCATTTATTTATTTTTGTTCTGCTTTCGGGTTGAGCCATGCCGTTCATTTTGCGTCTTGGAATCTGCTCACACACATATGTAATCCTTTAGTCCTGCATAATCAGCCTTCCTCTTTACATTTTTGGTAGTGCAAATTTGTTTGCCAGTTGGGGAAGTTTTTCCAAATATTGCGTTGAAGGCTGCACAGTTTTGGGTGAGTGTGTGTGAGCAGATTCCATGACGCAAAATGACTTCTCTATCCTGAAACCAGAACAAAAATAAAACATTAAATATAAAATCTTGATCTGTTTCTATACGCTCTGTCAAAATTTGAGGTTATTTCAACAAGAATTGCCAAAATTACTGGCCTGTGAAATTATATCAAATTTTTTGGGACCCTGTATTTCTGATAGTGGGCCTAATGCATTACTAACTTACTTAAACTGGGAATTCATACAATTAGTGAGGAATAACTTTGGCTGCTGCAAACCATTTCAAATAAGCCGCTTACATTTTTAAGAAACAGGTAGAACGCCTTTAATAACCTTATTTTTGTGGTTTACGAGGACGTTGTGATGGATAATGAATCCCCCAGACAGAGTCCATTACTGCCGGCCCCTCTCATCGCCGTCGGTATAGATTCACTTGAACATCGAGTCAAAGGCATTTCTGTGGATCTTCAGTGCTCTTCTGATGCTGTTATCTGTGTCTCTTAGATGCCATAATTAACTGTCTGCTCCAGTTAGGACGACTCAGTGACTTGGTATTGATCGGCCGCTCGTCTCTCTCTGTCTCTCTCCCTCACCTGCGCTTCACCTGTTGTATTTGAGCTCTGGAGTATTTGAGGGATGGTGAGATGGCTACATTGGGTCTATCTTTTCTCTGAGGAAAGCTGGGGCGACGATCTAACGCTGTTATTGATCGCCAAGTGGAGATTGGACTCAGGAAAGTTGTGTGAAAAGGTGTCTTTATAGTAACTTTTCTCAAGAAATCTAAAATAAGTATATATGTTTATTATGGATGTTTTTTTTTTTTTTGTGTAAACCTTGAAAAACATGCATATTTACTGTGCACGCATCTCCACTCTGCATAAAAACTTGAGATATAAACACTTAAATCTATCAGAAAATGACTTAAAGATAGTGAGATTATCTTGCTGCATGGACAGATTATTTTACTTGACAAGTTATCTTATAATAAACTACCTCTAGACTAGAATTAAGCTGTCTTTGAGCTATTAAGTCGATAATAAATCTAAGAACAAGATGAATAACCTGATATAAGTTTTAAATTCTTGGCCAGATCAGAGAAATTTGCAGTGCACAAACTGAACTCAAACGTGACCAGCCTGTTGACATGGAAATTTCATTGCTTTGGATAAAATGCTCTACCATATGGCGTAAAATGTGTCTATCTCCATGAAGAAGTCCCAAAGTATTGTTCTGATGGAGTCATTAAAGTGAAGTGCAATCACCGAGAAGTTACACCGTTTTAAAATGACAGTTGACGCCTGAAAAGATTGTCTTTCTTGGATATAGATAGAGAAGTAAGAAGTTAAAACCACCACTTTTCCACAGAGATAGATATGTTTTATGCCATAATGTGGAATATTATAGCCAAAGGAACATTTCCATGGAAACAAGCAGGTGGACGCTCTTCTCCAAGGCCAACTCATCAAGTTTGTGGAAATGCAAACCCACTCACAGTAACACCAAATGTTTTATTTTTTTGTGTGTGTAATAAGAATATTCAGAATGGATACTTAGCAGTGACATCACTCTGGGGTGTTCTATATGCGTCTCTAACGGAGAAATGTAAAGTAGTTACCACTGTGACCAGTGTTGGGGAGTAACAGATTACATGTACCGGAGTTACGTAATCAGAGTACAAATTATGAGTAACTGTATTCGGTTCCAGTTACTGTTTCAGTGAGTGGTAATTAGATTCTAGTTACTTTGTTGAAATAAATGGATTACACAGCAGTATTTTTCTGTTTTCACATTTTGGGCTATATCCCTTCTTTTTTTTTAATAGTAGTTCCACTCATTGCCGGACACTAAACCAGGTCTAAACCAGGTCCAAACCAGGTCTAAAACCAGGTCTACACCAGGACTAAAACCAGGTCTAAACTGAGACTAAACCAGGTCCAAACCAGGACTAAACCAGGACTAAAACCAGGTCTAAACTACAGTATGTCTCAAACAGGATTTAACAGGACTAAACCATGCTGTTTGGACGTGTTTCCTCCTCTTCTATCAATAATATTTTTAATTTGGTTCAGTAAAATCTGGGCTTTTTATTTTCTTTTATCAGACAAAACATCTTATGTTACGATATCCTCGTCTTTGTTTCTCTACAGCAAATCAAGTAATCCAAAGTATTCAGATTACGTTACTCACTTTAAGTAATTTAATGGATTACGTTACAAACTACATTTTGGTGTATGTAATCTGTAATCTGTAGGGGAATACATTTTAAAAGTAACCTTCCCAACACTGACTGTGACGCAATGCACACCTGAACACACGCCGTTAAAAAAGTTTTTAAATAGTCTGTGAACTCAAGGAAAAACACAAAATGGATTTAAGCAATACATTTTCAAGAGCTTATGATCAATTATGTGTGAGAGACTTGTTTAAGCGCACAAATCTCACATGTTGTAGTTTTAGGGTGCACTCACACTAGGACTTCAGAACCGCCCTAAAGCGTGGTATATTTGTCCAGTGTGAGCGCAATGGAACCATGCTCAGGGGCTGCATGGTTGGGACTTTGGTCCGTTTGGAGGAGGTGGGCCAAAGCACTGCACAGAGCTCATGTACACGCACAAGACTTAACTATACGAGCCCTGTCAGGTACACCACTGTTACTCATACAAGGAAAACAGTGAATAAAATCTTCTCCAAAACATAAGGCAAACCCGCACTCACCTTCAGTAAGGACTGTGACAGAGGTTTATCTGCCTCTCGTCTCCGGATGTCATCACTGCTCTGCGCTGTTTTTATCTCCATAAACTCACAGAGGAGCACGTATCATAAAAGGACACACATCAACCTCATTATTTAATAGATATTTCTGCCACTGGATTTTTTTCTCAGCTAAAAGCATTAGCATATGTAAACAAACAGTGCCGTGTAATGACATCATCAGGCTGTGGCCCAGTTTGGCTGTGCAAGTGAGTGTGGGCCATAGAACCCTACACAGTTTTGCTTGAGCCCAGCACGGTTCTATAGTCCTAGTGTGAGTGTGTGCTCTATTAAGTTAATTCTTTCATGTCAGATTGTGTCACAGACCTTCAGATTAAGTAGTACC